TCCTAAAAGTGTCTCCTTTTCAGCAGCTTTTCAAAGTGCTAATTCGCAGCCCACTGCTCCTTTTCTCACATTGTCTTTACTCCCTCTAAAATAAATCTCCTTCTCTGACCTATTTAACTGTCTTGTGGTGGTTACAGAGACACCAGCCTCCCAATACAGTGGGAGTAACACTGATACTGATCTACTATTTCATTTCTTTGCTGATTAGAATTAGTCTCTCCAACTGTTTGTCTCAATGATCAGCGTCATTCTTTTTGCAGCACTGATATTTTTCAGCTCTACAAACTCTTACATTTTCTAGCCTGATGAAAGGTGCACATAATCAGGTAGCGTAACCATTGATACAACATAATCCATGGAAATATACATAATGAGAAGGGAAAACTTTAGTCTTGTTTATGGTCATTTATGGTCATGTGCTGAAGTACTGTAACTGGTTTTAGATATTTTGTTTAAAAAAAGTTGGCTAAATCTTGAGCTATGTAAGAAAAGTGATGGTAGGCTTGCAAAATAAGACCCATGGTATGATGTTAAGTTGAGAGAATTAATCACGTTAATTCCAGGAAGTTTAAAGTGACCTCTTATTGTCCACAATAGAGAGGAAATGAAAAAGAGATGATACTTGATTATTCTCATTAGTTAACAAGAAAGAAAGAAAGAAAAAAAAAAAAAGTGGCCCTAAGCATTGTGAGGGGAAAATCAGGATTATATATCAGGGAAAAGTTTATAAACATAAGGACTCATAGCCAAGGAAACCAGCTGCCATATGAAGCATTGGAATCAGCACCACTGAAGATATTCAGGGCTCAGCTAGACATCCATCTATCAAAAAAGGATAAAGAAATCAGTCCAGCCACAATATAGGGATAATCCAACAGAGTTCCCTGCCAAATTTCTACCCCAAATAGTGTATGATTTAGTTGGAATGGAAAAGGAAAGCACTTTGGTTTGCTAGATCTTTCACTTAATCTTGAAAGCACAAATTCCTCTCTCTTTTAAAAAAAATTATTACTACTAACTTTTTAAAAAATTTTATTTATTGTATCTGGAATGTGTAGGCTTTGCTGTAGTTTCAGACACATTGATCCAAGCTTAGAATGTTGTTACATTTTCTTGAAATTTTAAAAAAATAGTATCCATTTAGAATAAAAAAAAAAAGCTCTTAGAATGAAAAATGGTTTCACAACATCTTTTCATAGCAATTTTCTGGACGTTGTCAGATCACTTATACCAAGCCTGAGGAAGGACCATCAGGAAGATATTTATTTTTTGTATGCTTAAGTAGAGGTACGTAGGATGGTAAGACTGGAGAGTTAGGATGGTTATAATGGTATGGTTAGCTTTTTATCTCTGTGTCATGACTTCAAATACAGGCCAAGAGAGATATTTCTTGTTCATCACTTCAGAGTTACTGTTCAGATGGGTGGTAATGAATTAGTTCTAGTGGGTAGGTGGGTAACACTCATACAATACAGTGTTCAAGACTGAATTGAGCTGGCAGGCTAAGACTACTGGTTATCAAGAACTGGGGTTCAGATTTTTAAGGGTATCTAGGCCTTTAACGTTCAAGTAGTTGCCTATTGCAATTTTGAGGCGTTTGAAAGCACTCACCTTTGGCTGAAGTGAGTGGAGTTAAGGTACCTAAGCTCTTTACAGAAAGCTAAGTATACATTTATCTGGAACATTGAGCACCTTTAAAATTACAGCCTAGCACCCTCAACAAATTTTCAATGAAGCTCTGATTCACCACTTTTCAATGCAGCCTCAATAAGCCTCTGATTTCCCCATTGTTTATACCAGCACATACTGTAAAAGAGAAGATGGATGACAGTTTGTTAGCTTTCAAGTACACTGCTGCAAGCGTAGTCTCCTTTCATGGCAATGTCTTCCAAAGCATCAGTCATATCAGAGATAGCAGGCTAGCACAGAGATGAAGCAGATAACACAGTTTTAAAGAGGCTGTTTCAGAAATAGAATTAGCCTTAAATAACAAATGAATCTTCAGACTAATTGAGTGAGTACCGATTTTCTGCAGAAATGTGACATGTAGGATTTAATATTTGCAAGCACGGTACCATCCATACCTTGCATTGCCTAATTTATACTGTGAAAATTAGTGCTAGTTTCTAAGAAATGCTGTAGAGTAGATCAAGGCTAATTCTTTGCAACAGTAAGTCTGCCACGTTGCCAATTTGCATTATGAAAATGTGTCACATGATGGAAGGGAAGTATGAATATCTGCTATCTGTTGTATACAATTGAAAAGGGAAAACACAGAGTGAAATCATCAAGCCACATTAGCCAAAGTGAACAGATAAGAAAGGGTATAACACTGGAATTGTAAACAATCAAGCAGAGATTACACCTCTATGTGAAACTGTGCATGCTTTTTAGATGTGAAAACGAAAATGTTTATAGTAGAAAATAAAAAAAATCTATCACTGTTTATTGCAGAAAATGTTCAAAATGCTGTATGGATGGGGCAATAATTGTTATGTGTCTAAAAAATGCTATCTTGTGTGTCACTTGAAACTGGTCTGCAAACGACACAACTTATAAGCAGGGAAATTAACTGTCACTGGAGTCAGGTTGGGCTCATGTACGTATGTGCATCCTGTACCCTCGCACCCAGCTTCTTGCCACAACTCCGACGGTGTCACCGACTGTGTGCCACAGCTCTCACTGCTCCCCATCAGACTGGCCTGGCATCCAGCACACCCTTCTCAACCACCACAGGAAACAGGTCATGCATGTGCTGCTCATCGCCTCTATCTTCCCTTCTGAACATTTCTGTGAAACCACATGTACTCAAGTTTGTAAATATGGACATCAGATAAAATGCAAGAAAGCCTCACCATCGGAAGATCTTGCCTTTGAATGTGGCAGTCTCTATTTTCCTCGCTCCTTCCCCCTCCACCATCAAGAGAGAAACCACAATGACAGGAAGAGTGCACCATTTCCTCTCGAAGAGACTCATTGCTGCTGTCAGTAGCTCACACTTACCCAGATTTTGCTCTTTCAGCATTGACACACTTTCAACTGCACAAAATATGAGACTTACCTGTACATTTTAAGTTGCTTAAATAGGACATTTTGGTAGAGGAAACAGTCAAATCAGGTTACTACATAAAGGGAGCTTTTATAGTTGACCATTCAGGCAGTGCTGCTGACTGCTGAGCTAGCTCTTAGTAAGAATGTGCAAGTTGTGCTATTTTTACTTGCTACTTGTCTAGCACTGGACTTGTTTGGAATAATTAATTTATTCTCGCATATACAGGTATATATCTGGCAACAAGAATTTAGAAGAATTTTCTGAAGCTAACAGAATCCTCACAAGACTTCCATTGAGGAGGGAGAAAGAAAACCTTGCTGAAAGAAGCTTTGAATGAACTTTAGAAAAAAGGTCCAAAGACACCTCAAAATACTCATGTTTTTGCCTGTGGCGAGCACACTTCATTACCCTTGTCATGCCACTTCATAACTTCTTGTTAACTTTTTATATTTTACCCGGTCATCTAGTTCAGTGGGTTTTATTCCCTGGTTTTCAGCCACTACCCTTTCCCAGTTTTCACTCTTTCGTGCT